AGGTACCTCTGCGTTTGAAGTCCTCGGTCTGGGCTCGCTTCTTTTTTTGGAGAAGGAGTGTGAGGTCTTGCCATTTTCCAAAACCGATGTGTTTCCTAACTTCGTCGAAGCTGTCGCACAAACGATCATCGAGCATCTCTTCGCCGTGGAATACAGGACAAAACCCGAAGCCTGGAACCAAGCAGCCCTGAGCCCCAAACCTAATCAACCGAACACGTCTTAGCACGGCAGCACGCCCTGAAATCGCGGATTCCCTAAATGCCACAAATATCTACGGTTTGCGATCCCGAAACAGCAACATGCCTGTAAACCCTGCAAGGCCTAAACTTCAACAAGACCCAAACTGTAGAAACCCCGGACCTCAAGCCCCTCAGCCCCCCAATCCTCAACCATAGCCGCAAACCATAACGTCAGCAACACTTGCAGAAGCTTTTAAGTAAGCTTGACATGGCCCGTAAAGGAACGCTGATGGAACTCTTAATCTTGAAGGGGCCATAACTTATGGCCCATAATCCTAAAGTCCTAGAGTCCTGGAGATCACCTTCAAGGAACCCGATGGCAGAGCCTTGGACCCACGGACCCACTCGGAGGTTCTTGAGCTGGGGAAGCGAAGCGACAGGGACCTGGAGGCGCTCAGCCCCCAAAAAAGTGGCTAATGTAGGGGCCTTAATAAATACCTATACTATTTTGGGGGTCCTTCTTATAATTGTAATAGAATGGGCTCCAAAACCCAAGTCTAATTGTTAGTAAGGCCTCTACAGTACGAGTTTGGGGCTTGGGACTTTAGGCATTTTTAGGGTAGGGGGGGTATAGGGTTTCGGGTTTAGGGTTTTGTGGTTCACGGTTTCGGGGTTGGGGTGCGGTTTGAGTCTGTGAGGATTCAGGGTGCACAGCCGGGCCTGAGCACATATCATATACGCACGTCTCTCTGAAATAGCTATTGTTTATGTAATGGTTGCCCTGAAGCGGGGTACGAGCAGGTGTGCGCTTGGAAACACACTCTGTATGTATCGAAACATCTGCCTGCCTGACCCACCAGGTAGAATAAGGACTAGTGATTAGAGCTTAGGTTTGCAGTTAACCCGTTTATCCATTTTCCCATTTCCCTAAAAGTTCTGGTCAAGGACAAACGGACTTTGAAGTTGTCTGTAGCCCCAACCCATCAACCCATTAGCTCCAGCATTTTGACCTCCTGGACCTGGGAGTAGGCTGTAGCCCCAAGCCGTTAAGCCCGTTAACCCATTGAGCTATTAATCCATGAACATCATCAATCCATTGACCCATTAAACCATTCACCCAATCATCCTGGCCGAATGGACTTGAGAGGCCCCAACCCGTTAACCGAATTGACCCACTAACCCGATCTTTCTGGCCAAATGGACTTGACTCCCCGCTAAGGGTTCAGGGTTTTTAGGATGTTTATGGCTAGAATTCAGGGTTAGGGTGTGTATAACTAGACTTCAAGGTTTAATGGGTTTGTAGAAGGGTGGTTGGGGGATCTCAGGAGGTGTATATAAAGATATCATAAGGGTTCTTTTAAATGCATGCTGGGAAATGAGCGTCACCGCAGGAGAACCCCGGCGACATAATTCAGCCGGTGAGACCCGAAGTGGAGCTTGAAGGGAATCCTCAAAGGATCGGAAGACTTTGTGAGATGGTCATCAGCCTGATGAAACCACGTCATCCCCGCTTTAACTCCCAGCTCGCCGAGCCCAAACCCTAAAGGCACCCGGGCTCGAAGCCCCAAGCCGGCAAGCTACACATGCCCAAAACAAACCTTGAACATCGTCAGCCCTTCCTGGCCCTGAACCCTAAACCCCTGAGGAACTAAAGCACCGGCTTGGGCAGGAACTGGTGGAGGGGCAAAACGCCGCCGTCGCATCCCGGCAGCAGACAGACTTACTCAGGGGATCATGCAACATAGGGGTCGAAAGATTTAACCAAAGTGTCACTTCTGCTCCTTTCTACAATAGCAAAGTAATGTGCAGCGAAGCGCTTTTCTAAGCGGTAACGATTCTTTGATGTTAGATTGTGGATCACAGCTTGGGCGCTGACCACAGCAGTGGCCATCTAACAAAAACACTCTGATTGGGTTGAGTTGGTTTGCTTTCTTTCTGACGTTTGACCGCCGGGTTTATCTGCAACGGCGGCTCTGTTGAAGTATCAGCTCACGTCGAACACAGCTACGACTAGTAGATGTTCTTGCATTGAAACTCGGTTCTTATGCTTGTTATTGAGATGGGGGCCTGTTGTATAAAACATAGGGCTCCATGGGGTTACCAGTAACACCCTAAAACCCTCAACCCTAAACCCCTAAACCCTAACACCCTAAAACCCTAAAACACTACACCCCTAAACCCTGACACCCTAAACCCTTCCAGGTCGTGACCTCCGGGGGGAGCGTGCGGGTGCCTCGGCCATCCGAGCCCCTCGCAGTCGCAGGCTCCTCTTTCTTTGAGGGTGTAAAGGGGTTTCCTTTGTTTTAGGGTTTTAGGGGTTTAGGGGTTGAGGGTGTAAAGGGGGCTTCAGGGTTTATAGGGGTTTTAGGGTTCAGGGGTTTGGGGTTTACTGTAATATTTCCGGGATTTAGCCTCGTTCTTCGAGGGTGTATAGGGGTTTCCTTTTTCTGGTGTTTTTAGGGGTTTAGGGATCAGGAGTTTTGGGGTTTAAGGGATTTAGGATTGAGGAGTTCAGGGTTTATAGGTCCCCTTTGAGGGTGTAAAGGGGTTTCAGGGTTTATAGGGCTTTAGGGGTTTAGGGTTCAGGGGTTTGGGGTTTACTGTACTATTTAAGGGATTTTGTGTTTACGAGTTTAGGGTGTATATATACATATATATATATATATATATATATATATATATTTATATGTATATACACATATATATATATATATATAAAGAGAGAGAGAGGGTTTGGTTTAGGGTATTGGTTGAGGGCGTATGTAGGGTTTGCAGCGGTTTTTTTATTTTATGGCTAAGACTTCAGGGTTTGTATAGAGGTTTAGGCTTTAAGGTTCTTGGGCTCGTCACGGGTTTAGGATGGTTTAGGGTTTAAGGTTTGAGATCATTCAGTCTTTGGGTTTGGGCTGCATGGGGGTTTTGCTTTAATGGCTTTTGGGACTCTATACGTGTTTAGGGTTTAGGCTATCGAAGATCTTGTTCGGCATGGTTTTGGACGCGGAAGTTTGGCCGTTGGCTTCCGGGTTTCGTGTACTCGGGGATAGGCTTTCAAGTTCCTTTACAGACGGTTTAGCGGTTATGGATCCAGCAGCTGAGTGGATTAAGTGCTGGTTTCGTTCCGTTGACCGTAGTCCTTAGCGCTAAGCACGCTGATGTTCCAGGTGCCGAAATTATTCGCCAAGTCTTTATATTTTGGCTACAGTCATGTCATTGTTCAAGAATGCAGTTCTGGTTTGTCCGCCCCATTTCAGGTCACGCTACAGCTTTTGATACACCCTGAACCATAAGCTGTCTACCCTACACCCTATCCTGGCTAAAGTTAATTGAATTCAACCCTGACGCCCACCCCTCAACAAACACCCAACTTTATCCCGAGAACCCATCGAAAGCAACATGAAACCTTTCCCTAAACCGCAACTAAACCCTAAACCCTAAATCCTAAGCCGACTTCCCAAAACTCGAAGCAGCCAGGCCCCGTCCTGGGCCCGGGCAACCTCCCGCGCACGGAGGAGGACGTAGCGAAGCCCGGTCCTGAGGAGGGTATAGAGTTTAGGGTTTAGGGGTTTAGGGTTTAGGGTTTTAGGCCGGGTTGTAGGGTATAGATTTTAGGGTTAGGGTTCCAGATGTCGGGTTTAGAAACCCTAAACCCTAACCCTAAGAGGGTTTGGGTTCAGAGTGCAGGCTTCAGGAGTTTGGGTTTTGGGGTTCGTAGTTGGGGGGTTCGAGATCGGATTTCGGGTGGTTTCCTGGCACATTGAGACAAAGGTGGACGTTAGGGTGTATTTTCTGACAGTACGGGGGTTCGGTTCTATTAAGTGGGCTTCAAGGGCGGTGTTAGGGTTTAGGACTTGGGGTTCAGCCTTGAGGGTCTGAGGTTGAGTTAACTAGCTTCGTACGGATTTGCTTTTGTTTCGAGGGTGCTAGTTTCGGGCTTATGCTGTCTATGTTCGGAACTTATGTACGCGTGTTGTTATGTTACCAGTTGGTTCCATTCCCGGCGCAGGGTATGGACGAAGGCTACTTAAAGGCTCATGGGACTTAGTAACTAGGGTTATAAATAAGGTAACTATACTTATAATTACTTACAACCCCAATTAGGGGACTTATAACCTTACTTACTAAGTCCCATGATCCTCTAAGTAGAAGGTTTGCAGTTTCAAGCTGCAGTTGTAGCAAGCGCCTCCCCGACGTGGCCGATAGGGGGACAGTTACCTAAACCACAGTAGTAGTTCCTGCTAGAAACCCCACTTTCCACTACATGGGAGTTTCCGAAAATTAGGGTACCTTACTTTGGGGGGTCCTTATAATAAGGATCCTACGATTTAGGATACTATATTTGAGTCCCCTATTTTCGGAAACTCCCACATTGGTCTTTCGGACTCTTCGTTGTCCTGAAATTTCCCGCTGCGCCTCTGAGGCTCTCACTGAGACTACTATGAACCGAAATCGGAGCTCGCTTTTGTTGACTGGTGCTTCTTAATGGCTAGGACCTAGAGTAGGCCCTTGTTCCCATTTTGTAGGGTTCAGGTTCCCTTATAAGCCCCTTCAAACCAAAAAAAGGCACCCTTTTTGTTCCTAGGTTACTCTTGGGTCTAGATGGGTACATACAAACATACAGAAACACATAGATACATAGATGCATGCATGTATGCAGACACAAAGACAGACAGGCAGACTGACTGACTGACAAAGACTGACCGACAATCATTAATGCACAGGCAAGCTCGAATATGGCTGAAGCAGCAGCCCTCCACTGTATAGCTAAATAATTGCAGCTTCTAGGGGAAGGCGTGAAGGTCTTTCGGTTTCAGAGATCACCACATGTCCAACAAGCGGACGCTCGACGGCTTTGTGGCCTGCTTCCGATGCCCCAAAAGAGCCGTCCAAAGGCAGAGTGTCTAAATTCAAAGCTGCCCTGTCGCCTGTATATAGCGTCTACTAGAGTAAGGGACAGCGCTTTGCCATTCAGGGGTTTACGTTACCCATAAACATTTGGGAATTTCCAAACATTAGGGGTGCCGTATTTTGAGGTCCTTCAAATAAGGATCCTAATTATTCAGGGCAGTATATGAGAGTTCCCCTTTTTCGGAAACTCCCATTTGAGCTCTGCGTGCTTTGGCAACGGCGCCCTGCAGTCGAGGGTTGGTGCTACGTCTACTGCCAAGTTGCATGAACGTTTTCCCTAAGGGTCCAAAGGACCCTATAGTAAGGTATTTGGGGTTTGGGATGGTAGTTATGTAGGTTACTATTTTGGAGAGCATATGATGGTTAGGTACTTGGACCCTTAGGGTTTGGTCTTTAGACCACCGAAGCAGCTGAGGCGGAAGCCATCAGCCCCAAATTGAAACCTCAGAAGTCTTATCCATGAGCCCGAAGCTGAAACAAAGCTGAAGTCTACTGAGTCAGAAGCCGGAAACTGAAGCAAGCCTAAACTCCCTACTAAGCCCCACCACAATGGAAAACCGAAAGCATGGATATATACAGGTTTGAAGACCCTGGGTACGACGGTTTAGGCTTTAGGGATGGGTGTAGTTTACGGCTTAGGGATGACACTGATGACACTCCTGGTGGAGCTTCAGTATTGCCCACCTTTCATCCCAAAGCCTAGGGCCTACAAACCCAACAACCCCCAGCCCTGCCATAGACATAGAGGTCTGGATAGTAGCAATAGTTATTCGTTGCGAGCTTCTAGAATCATAGCAGAATAGGTCCCAAAAGCCATGCTATAATCATTGAACCCCCTACATCGTGCCCGAAACCTTTAGGAGTGCCCTTCAGGCGGACATGCGGATCAGCTTTGTGCGCAGGCCTCGAAGGTTACTACGCAATGTGCCGGGACTGTGCCTGGGGCCCTTGCCCCTTATGTGGAGAAACCCCAGGCGAACAGGGAGCTCATGGGGTTTGGAGATGCAGCTTCGGGCTTTCTGGGTTTACTCTGAGCCCCAACATTTCCCACATTTTTGGGGGTTCCTTATTATGATTTCCGTGATACATGAAGGTCGGTTTAGTGTGGGGGATCAGGGTATAAGAGTTTGAGAAGCTTCCGCGGCTCGAGCATGCTCGAGTTTCGGGGAAGTCGCAGGATAGAGTTTAGGGTTTTGGGAACAACCATCTGGTGTGTGGCTGGGATGCATGAAATACGGGTTCGGTCTCGCCTACTCTTTTTGTATTGTTCTAAGATATCACATATAGTCTTCTGTGTCCCAATGCTCTTAACCTTTTATTATAAACAGCTTATACATACCATACATAAACATATATATACATATATATATATATATTTATATATATGTATGAGCCCTGAGGAGTGGAAGAAGTGGAAACTGAGAGCAGCTTGCCCTACGCTGCCACGGACAGCTTGGGTGAGGTCTCGGAGGCTGTTGCAGACGAGCTTGCTGAGCGGATCCTTCGAGTTCTGGATAAGGCCGTAGGGCCGGTGACTCCTATCGCTGTAGCACGGCAGTGCGCGCTGACGATGTCCAAGGATGTGAACCCGACACTCTACCGTCTAGAGGCTGCTGGAAAAGTCGACAGAATCTGGAATGATGGGCAGAATTTGTGGCAGCTAGCATCGGCAAAGCCACAGCCAACGCAGCGAACGCAGGGGCATCGTGGTTCCATGCTGCCCGATGCAAGTGTGCCAGAAGAGGTGCGGCGCAGTGACAATGCCATGGTCAAAGCCACGGACAGTCCCCTGGTGAAAAACATTCTGACCATCCTTGCTAAAGAAGGTGTTCCACTGACCGCTATCAGCCTCGCACGGCGGTGTGGCCTGGAGAGGGCCTCCGACGTGAATCCTACGCTTTATGCCCTTCTGAAGGAAGGCAGGTTGGTTAAGACAGATGTCGGAAAGCCTGCGTGGTCTTTTCCAAAGTCGTGACTCTCAAAACTCATAGATGGAATGGGGATGTCACGTGCTACCTTGCTGCAGAAAGCTGAGTGGATGCCGTGTCATGCATTGAGCGGTGCCTTGGGGATGGATATCGCCTCAGGATTTCAGGAGCACTCTGCTCACATGTTAATGTCGTCCCGGCTGACACGGTTCACCTTAAAGTGAGATGTGGGCCACGGTGCAAAATCTTGGGTTCTCATCAGCCGAAAGCTTGTGCGAACTGCATCTGTAAGCCGGAACAAGCACTGGACATGGCCTTGAACTTTATACCCCAAACCCGGGTAACCGTGAGGCGAAGTGAAGACGTCACTCGAACACCAAAACACGTGAAGATCTTCGTCATCTTTTTGTGCAACAACGTCAGGGGTAGGAGGGGGTGTCAATTTAGGATCTTGGGGTGGGTACACAATCTGCTTTAAGAAGCCAGGGTAACTAGGGCATGCTTGAGTTTCGCGCTTCAGGCTCTGACCTAGTCAAGTTGGCCGGGATGCTTGAGGGTTGCGACATGGTTTGGCTTTCTGGGCTTCCGGTATGGAGATGATGGTGACGCATCTTCATGACTTCACCTTTGCATCATCGTCGTCGATGTCACTAGTATAGGAAATACATACTATTTTGGGGGGGGTTCATTATTGGAATTATAGTATAACGCGCCCCAAAAACCCTATTCCAATAATAAGGCCTCTCAAACTATACAACCTCGAAGCTTAAATCCGATCTCAGGAAGGCAAGGCCTTGTAACTAAGCGGCAGGGCCAAGTCTGAACACCCTAAAATGCAGGGTTTAGGGTTTAGGGTTAAGAGTCCCTAAACCCTAAACCAGTCTAAACGTCCCGAAGACATGGAGAACTCGGAGTCCCGCGAGCGGCGCTCGAATCGGGTCCTTGAACGCGTCTTCGGGGACCCAATCCTTCGAAGAACGAAGTCAGACGGCTTTGGAATACCATTTGGTTTTGAATTTAGGGTACCTTCAAACTATGAAGGGGTCACTGGGGAACCTCGTGCTACTGTAGTGATGATAGCACGCACGATCATGACATTACCAATAATCACGAGAAAAAGATTTGTCAGGAAAGCAGCTCCCCTAGCCCCCGAGACCCCGATAACTAAGTTAAGGCAGGGCCAGCACCAAGAAGTGAATTCAAAGCCGTAAACCCTGCTATACAAGCCTTAGCACCTTGTAACACTGTTCCTGAGGGCCTCGGGTGTCTTGAACAACAGCATAACATCTCATGCGAGCCTGCCCGCACCCATGCAATCCCCGGTTTGTTTGCTTTTGTATTTACAGTGTAATGTACCCCCAGGCCCTGTTCAGTTGCGAGCGCCGAGAAAAGCATCCAAACCCGAAGCCCTAAATCCTTGAAACGAAGCCTATCGAGACCCTGAGGCTGATCCTGGAGCACGACAACACCCCGGTGGACCAGCTCAGGAGGCGTTTTGAGAATTTAGGGATTCAGGGAGTTTAGGGCTGAGGGGGATGAGGGTATGAAGATTCACGTACGCCACCAAGCCTGTATACAACCGCATATACACCCGAATATAAAAACCTTACGAAATCCCCTTCGAACACTGAAGTGCAAGCATTTATCAGGTCCATACCACGCCACGCTAAACCCGCCACTCTCAGCCACTGTGTCCCGCCAACAGAACCTGTATAGAATCGCATGTAACCTCTATACTATAAAAGACCCTCTATACCAACTGTTATCCCGTGTAGGCACACTGTGTCGTGGACTTCTATTGAATGGACATTCTTCGCACCCTAAACCCCGAGACCCTAAACCCCTAAGAGAAAACCCTAAACCCTCAAACACCCCAAGCCAACCAAAACATCAAGCAGAAAAATGCACGGAGGTTTGTACTTCTTGGAGCCCTGTCAGGAGCCCCGAGCTCAGGCGTAAAGACCAGGGGTTCTTGTAACATGGCTTTTGAAGTTTTATTGCTTTATAGGGTGTTAGGGTGTATAGGCTCTAGGGTTTTTAGGTTTTCGGGCTGTGGGGCTTAAGGGTTTGAGGGCTTTTTAGGGCTTGCAGGTTCTGGGGTTTGAGAGTTTTCAGGTTGAAGGGTCTCTGGTTATGGCCCATGGGTTTGGGGTTCTGAATTCGGGTACTATCAAAAATGAATTATCAGTTTTTTTATAGTCGGACCAATAACTGAACAATACCAAGATTATAAAAAAAATCGTATTATGAATTCTGAAACCCCCTTTCGAAGCCTCGAGTCCTTCTTCCTCCTAAGCCCTGTAAACCCAGAACCCTCAACCCACAAGAGCAGGATAAATTGAACTTGTATGCCCATACTGCCCTGCCCTTGCCCTTGCCCTTCCCGCAGCCCGCCAGTCCCAGCCCCAGCCCCAGCCCAGCCCACTCGTTTGGGCACTTCAGGCTTCTATGACACATGCACTTGACGCGTGATATGCCGCCACCCACAAACCCTGGTGTCAGGTGGCACCATCCTAGCATGGGTTACCAGCCACTGCGCAAGAAGACACCCTCAACCCTGAACCCTAAACCCCAAATTCCGAAGTTCCGAAACCCTAAACCCTGAACTCTAAACCCTGGACCCTAGATTCCGAAATTCCTAAACCCTGAACTCCAAGCCCTGAACCCTCAACCCTTAAACTCCGAAGTTCCGAAACCCTGAATTCTAAGCCCTGAACCCTAAACCCTTGAATTCCGAAATTCCGAAACCCTAAACTCTTAACCCTGAACCCTTAAATTCCGACATTCCGAAACCCCAAGCCCAGCCTTCTCAGGCGATGCTCGGCTTCTTCGGTGTGGGTCCGGCGTGGATGCGGGGGGCCCCGATCTGCTGCTCGAGAGGATGAGAACTAGGGGTCCTTGTCACTAAGGGTTTACCTATAGTCTCCATTGTAGTTCCTTTAATTGGTTGACCAAAATCTCTATTATAGGATCCTAACCATAAAACTGGTTAACCAAAAAAGGAACTACAATGGAGACTCTAGGTAGGGCTCAGGGTTTAGGGTTTCCGAAAGGGGCCAAGTACCCAAATAGTAGGGTTTCAAAGTCCAAAAACCATTCAGAGTATGGTTTTTGGGACCTAAAACCCTACAATTTGGGTACTTGGACCCTCTGTGTTTAGGAAGTAGAGGTCCCGTTTGTAAGCGGATTTACATAGGCAGAAGAGTTTAGGGTTTCAGGGTCCTTTTATATCAGGGTTTAGGGGGTCCTGTTTATAAGAGTCTAGGGATTAGGGGTCCTTTTTTATACGGGCTGCGCAGGAAAACGGGTTCTTTGATTCTATAGGGTTTCTACAAAGGTACTACAAGGGTAGCTCTCCAAATTTGGGTCCCTTCGTAAGGGGTCCATGTTATTCAGGCTGCCGCAGTATATTGGGGACCCGCAAAAGGGATCCTAATTTAGAGAACTACCCACTTGTGAGCAAGAAATAGCTCTTCTACTTCCAGCCTTTTTTTAAGGGCGTTTGATACTCCCAGTCTGGCATCAGCTGTTTTTGTGCCGGACCTTGTATCCGACATCGGCACATGTCCCATGTCAATGCTACATCTGCACTAGTTTTAGAAACCCTTTCAGCTTAAACCCCGAAGCCCTAAACCGACCCAGCACCGTCGAACAAGATTGGCACCGATCCTGACGCGTACGTCTCCAGAGTGGGCGCAGATCGCGTCCACGGCTACAGGCCTGGTTCTCATGCGGAGAGTGGCCAGGTTGTAGCGTCAGGCAAGAAGGTGTAGTGTAGTTCAGGGTTTTGCGTGGAGACACCTTAAATACAAAACACGGCAAAAGCACTAAACATATTGGGGAAAAAATATTTTCCCCAATATGTTTAGGGTAAAAATATTTGTTCCCCAATATGTTTAGTGTCAGTCTTGTTTTGGGGCTTTTCGGAGCTTGATTGCAGGCCCTGTGAGCTGAGAGTCGTGTGGCTTCCCTTGTTTTAGGGCTGCAGACTTGTGAGGTTGCAGGGTTCGCATTCCACAAGTTTCAAAGAGGGGTCAATAAACAAGAGGACTCTTATTATCAAGATCCCACAGCACGAGATCGTTTCAGAAAGTTCGAGAATGCAGGGCAGTTGAAAAGGGTTTGCGAGTTCTTCCTGAGGGGATTCTGCCACATCCCGAAAACCCCTACCCCAAACCCAAAACCCTCGGCCCCAAGAGCCTCCATGGTTATCACTTAGAAGCTGCCCCCACCCTGTAATAGTGACTATAAGGATTATATTAGGGCCCTACTATATTCCTATTATACCACTATAACAGGGTGGGGGCCCCTTCTAAGTTATCACCCGAAGTGCCATCCAGATCAGGCTCCTAGAGGGTGGAGCAAGAAGCTCCCTTTGCTGTACTATGGGGGGGACCTCTGTAATTGAAACTAGGGCTTTGGGGTATACCGCTGTATACTATGTTATAAGAAGGAAGCCCCCCAAAGTTCCTATTCTTACTTATGCGTTAGTATTGCCCACAAGCCTAGTCTAACTGTTTAGGCCCGCATATTACCGTCAAAGGTTTTGTTTTGCAGGAGGAACAAACACAGGGGCCCTTGACAGTTCTCAGCTTCTTCCCTGCTCTCTTGGTCCTAAAGGGAACTCCAGAAAGTTGGAATATGGATTAATGGTAGGATCCCCTATAATTTACCTTAAAGGGGGTACGATAATGATATATGCTCATTGCTTCCGGGTCTTGCTAGCTACTCCAGCGATATGACATAAGGCTATCTCAGCAACCACAGCCGGCTGGAAGTAAAGGCCTGGAGGACCAAAACAAGTACGCAGACTCGTGCTGAGCTCAGCACTCTGTGTTGGAGAACCTAAAGCCTGGTATCAGAGCCTCCTGGCTACCACCAGGTTCTATCTATCAAACCTGCAAGCACGCGTTGAGTGCACACAAGCACTTCCGTGATGTAGCATGTCCAGCACAATTTTGAAGGCGTGTGCTTGCCACAGCGACATAGCTTGTCAGCAGTATCCGTTAGAAGCTGCCCCCACCCTGTAATAGTGACTATAAGGATT